TTGAATTTGGTTGTGACAATGATACCTTGCTCTGATGATGTTCGTCATGTGACGGACTAAAGTTTAGCACCTTTTCACTGGAATAGAAGAAGATTGCCTCGGAAACAGCATCAGCATGAATGTTCCAGTAAAGCCAATCGACAGCTGGTCAAGAGTAATCCGTCGTCGTCTTCTGGTGGAATCGACCTTCGATCCACTTCACCATACACTTTCACTAGAAATTGAAGTAAACTCAACAATTATGAAACAAGACATTCCTCGAAACCCAAATCTTCTTCGTTATGGCTTTGTCAGGTACAAATGTACCTGATAAAGAGAGTCTGATGTGGATACCACCAGTCGTTCAGGAGGGCACAGCTCTGCGTTTCGTCCTCCATCGGTTCCGGTATTGCCAATCCACAGACGTCATCAGGGCTTGAGGTATTTTTTATAAGTCAAGCTGACAACTGGTGCTTCCTTACATGCTAGCTATACTCGTCACAACGATGCATGAACTAAATTAATATGTCATTTTTAAATGGGCGTGTAGAGAGAATAGTTCTGTTAGTGATCTTATATCTACTTATATATACTGAAGATATGTATTAAGGGAACATTGTCGTGACAACTAATATTACCCTAAAATATGCCGGATGAAGAGATTGTTATTTCGATCTCACTAAAGGAATACAACTGATTACTGTTAATCAGCATTCATATAATTTTACTATAACCTTCCGGTGAGTATGGTCTACGGGACGCTTCTTCAATTCGGATGAAAAAGAGTTAAATTTGCGTACGCTATAATAAGGGCATCGTCTGAGCTCAATCTCACATATGCAGAAGCTTCAATTTAAGTAAAAGCGAGTAATCGGCTCTATGCGCTTGCTAGTCGAAACTTAAAAATGGAATAATTAAATAACAAAATATATATATATACTTTATACAAATATTATTAGATAATATAAATAATACCATATATATATATATATATATATATATGTATGTATATATATATGTAACGATTTGGGGCGTTATTTATAATACTATTTTAGGCACTTACATGTTTGTGTATAAGTGACAATAACAGCTGCCTGTCTCCATAAGTCATTTAAAGCTTCAAGGAAAGAGCAAATGATGATCAGGTTGCTGGAGATTTGAGTTAGTTATTCGACTCGACTTAAGTATTAAGAACAATATTCATTAAAGCTCTTGTGCAACTTATCCACTCTGTCTCTGCTGGGCAATTCGTTATGCTTATGTGTTGGGGAATGGCAAGTTAGTCATAGATCAAATTTTTCGTTGATTTGAGAGCATCAATCTGAAGAGGGTAAGGTAAACAATAGGATAGGTAATTATCAATTTAACCAAAACTTTTCTATGGCTTCCTGAATCTCAACAAATTTTCCATTTCCAAAACACGTGTAAGACAAGTTTCTAAATTTTTGTCTTGCAGTCATTTAGTGAGTACTTTAAGTGGATCCACGGCGGTAAAAGACACATTCATGCATAAATGCATTCTTAAAAAACCCTATAACTACTGAAGATATGAAGACCAAGATGTTGTGGTCTCTGTCTGGTCGCAGTCTCCTTTCGATTTATTGAAGTAAGTTGACCTCGCTGTCGCAACTTGGTCTTGTTGTCAGAGCAAATATGTAGAACGCACCTAGTCCGAAGTCGTCTGCCATAGTAGTTTTCATGATTCCCAGCATCAGAGAGCGGACTTGGTACATTCTCATACGTTTCGCCGACATCGTAGTCGGCATCATAAGTGAGTTTTGCCATTCTTCGCACAAAGCTATGAACTCGTCAAAGAGACAAGTCTCTTTGATGTCTCTTTGATGAGTTCGTAGCTTGGTGCGGAGAATGGCAAAACTCACTAATGATACCGACTATGATGCCGGCGAAACGTTTGAGAATGTACCAAGTCCATTGTCTGATGCTGAAAATCATGGTAACTATGGCAGACGACTTCGGACTAGGTGCATTCTACCAAGTTGCGACAACGAGGTCAACCCACTCCTACAACTACTGCCTAAAAATGCTGGTATGAAAACCAACGCTCGAATGGATCGAAATTTAAAAATACTATCCAAAGACAAATATGACAATAAGGACTTCATAGATTTGGACAAATTAGCCAGATGTATCTTCACAATGGGAAATAGATTATCTAAAGATATTTTTCGATTATTAGCAATTTTTTGCGACTACCAGTAGACTGCATAGATAAAATGTATTCCCCCCTATTTCGTTTGAGGTGATAGGAGGATGTGCAGTTGAATTTTTCCTTAATCATGAGAGTAGAACTTATGTATACATTGAACTTGTTGAGCTTAATGACATTTCGAGTGAAAGTGTTGAGGGAAAAGATTCGAATGTCGGTTTTATTCACTCGTTAGCTTGAATTTTGTTGTAAAGATGTTACCTCGCTCTGATGATGTCCGTCAAATGACGGACGAAAACTTAGCACCTTTTCAACAGAATTGAAGGAGATCGTCTCGGAAACAGCTTCAGCATGAATGTTGCAGAAAAGCCAATCGACAGATGGTCAAGAGGAATCCGCCGTCGTCTTCTGGTGGAACCGACCTTCGAATTCCTTCACCCAACACTTTCACTCGAAGTGGAAGTAAGCTCAACAATTATGAAACAAAAGATTCCTCTAAGCCCAACTTTTCTTCGCATACATTGAACTTCACATAACCTTGCTTTCCAAAAGTATTTCCTATATGGAGAAAAATTAGGTTTTAAAGAATTTCTTAATGAAATATTGCGGCATGAATCTCCATTTCGAAAGGAAAGTTAGTTTGAAACCGAATGAAGATTGTCGCGTAAGAAAGAGTGTTGAATTGTGCCAAGAAGTCCTCGGCCAACCGTCCTGCGACCTCGATGAAACTATGCTAAGCTTTAGCCTGTACCACCGTGACATACACCATCAGAGCAAGATACCATACTTTACGAAAAATAGCAAAAATATGCTAAACCAAGCTTCCTTCTCTTGCCCAGTGGCTCTTCATGCACCCACTCTCTCTTCCTTTCCTTAAGTCTATCCAACGGTCACAAAACGTTCCCACTTAGTTTCTCCTATTCAGGACGTAGATTGAGGTGTAGACTGTTTCAAACCACTTATTAATTATGAGTAATAGACAAGTAGTTATTAGATATTACGTGTGGGATAGACACCTTGACAATTCTACTCGGTACCTACCTGACAGCTTGCGAAAAAATTAGGTGAAATACTGAAGAGATGGAACATTAAAACAATATATAAAGAGAAATTAACACTTTATTCAGTAGTTCTTTCGTTTAGAGAATATTCAAATGCTCTTTCTAGATCAGGCTATTAGAAGGTTTTGTGATCATGTGGTAGGGTATATGTGGATGAGACTTGCCGACCCATTTACAAGAGACTAAGCTAACATAAAACCGCTTGTAAAGGTATGTGGGTCCACAAATCTGAGTTCGCCGATACAGGATACTCAATAAACTTGTCCAACACACAACGTTTTGCTGGTTAAAGGGACTTCACGTCAAAGCGAAAGATTAGGGAGTCGATAGAAATTTACAAAAAAGCCAACGTTCTGAATAAGAGGAACGAGTGTACAAAATTGGGTAGGGACTATTTGTGGTTGTTGGATAGACTTAAGAAAAGAGAGAGAGACTAGGTGCAGGAAGAGCCATTAAGAAAGTGAATGAGGCTGAATTATCCTCGAGTCCAATTAGGACTATCACACTTTCCATGACATGACCATTACATATATACAATATACAAACATGATTCGACATTAGAAGATCATACTCTCTTTTTTGGTGTAATGAAACAGCTGCCACCGAACACACTCACACATATACACACTTCACTCTTTTGCAGGCCTGTAGAGTAAGGTTGAAGTAGCTAACCAAATCATGGGAAACCTCATTAAGATCGCGATGTTGGGTGTACAAAAAAACGTCTAGGGTCGCAGTTAACTACCTTCTTCTCTTGGTTTAATGTATTTTTGTTCTGTCTCGTAAAGTATGGTATCTTACTGTGATTATGTCTGTCATCCTGGTACAGACGAAAGCTCAGCACAGTTTCGTCGCTGTCGCAGGAAGATGTGCAGAGGACTTTTTGGTACAATTTAGCAGTCTTCCCTACGCGGCAATCCTCCTTCGGTTTCCGATGAGACCACATCACAAATTGTCTCCAACCAACTCTCCCTTCTAAATTTTCTATTCCGGCGGGAGTGGACGACAGTTTCAACTTCACATTTGTTTCATCAGCATTCCCACATCGACTGGAGCTATGACAATTCAACGTTTAATCTCGAGTCCTTCATTAAAATGTCTGTTTGACAAGCAAAACTTGGTGAAAATGCCCATATAAGTATGGAAAAATGCAACTACCAGTGCTCTTTTCACCTTAAACGGAACGGTTTAATGCAACTCATTAATATATTATCTACCGGTAGTCTGAAAAATCTGCTTTAAAACGAAATTCCACAATCACCTTTTAACTCATCTTGAACGATTTAAAGTGACTAAGTTCTTATTTAAGAAGTAATGACGATTTACTAACTTCTACACAGTTAAAATTGGCGTAAAACTGTCATGTTCAAGAGACATGATCTACTCTAAGCGCTTGGCGAAACGCACAAAAGCGCTGCAATAAATATGATTGTGCTGTACTAACATCTTATCGGCCTTAAACTGACCAAAAGCTCCAATTGATGGCCGTTTTTCGCCAGCTACGGTGGCCTAAGTTTCATTGTTCACGCCAACCAATAGAAAGGTAAGCTGGGCTTCACACAAATGCTTCAATATACCTCACAATAGCCAAAAATCGAGAGATAAGACTCATCCAGTATTTGTTGATTTCACTCCAGCTCTACCTGACATAGTAGCTCGTTTCCTTTGGTCGTGAACAGTTGTTGGGACAGTTTGAAAATGGCGCCACAAAACGGCTTTCCGAACCGGCCTGGCCTGAGTTGTGGGTCTGAGATCAAGTCGCTAAGGTCTGAAGTTTTGGATGATTTTGCCCAATCCTGCACCATCGAGACTTCCACCGACAGAGGGCTCGTAGGTCTACAGTCTCCAAGACGGTTCGTCGGTGGGAAATATGGCGCTTCTGCCGCCGGCATACGCGATCTCTCGAACGACCTTTGCTCCGCGCCGTGGCCGTTGGGTCGGCGCCCGATGCACACGACTTCGGTCGACTTCATCCCATTCGGTGATCTGGCCGAGGTAGGCCGGGCCGCTGGTGGTTATCCGTTGGCTCGATGGAGTTCTGAGAATCGCGATCAGTTCACCGATCCTGCAAGTCTCCGCTTGATCCCGACTAACGGCAAAGTAAGGGCGCGTAGGCCGCGGGCCCGGGCATTTCAGCTTTCTGTGACGGCCGAGGCGGAGAGAGGGTCGCCGGTCGATCAGTTACCAAGCGATGCCAAGACACGAAGTGAAGCGGTACCAACTCTGCTGAGCTGGTCAGAGGATGCGACATTGCCGGCAGCATTGGAAGTGACAGATCAACGATCGCAAGTGAGGAAGATTACGGAGTATCAGGTACGCTCAACTTTTGTTGACCACACTTCCAGCTCGAGTGGTCGTGTGTGATGAAGAGATTCATGAACCAATCCCACCAAGAAACAGAGAAGCATTCCAGTGGGTTACTGTCCTCGATCTGGCCTTATTTAGTTTAGATAAAAGCTGGAAGATGCAGCCGACCGCAACCGGAACGTTACAGTAAAGCCGAACGTCGACTGATTTAGTGGAAGTCGAGGTGGTTTTTTGATGGGATCGAGAAAAACGACCAAAATATTTTTGTAAACACATCGTTTTTTTATATGTAGGCATTGCTTTTGCCCACTAAATTATACTTTTATGAACAATTGTCATTAAGCTCCAAGAGCTATTCTAGACTGCATATAATATCGCTAAATTGAATTTCTCAGATATTCTTAAAATGTGTAAATTTTTTGGTAGTTTCAACCCCGACTCCCCTTTTCTTAAGCACCCACTACGGGTTTTTAGTGGCAATTTCGCCAACCGGCCATTGATATCACTGATCACGGCAAAATGCCATTTTATTTAATTTTCAAAGACGTTATTTATATTCGATGAGTAATATGTGATATTGTCAGTAATTCTTGTATAAGTTAGTAACTTGAGACTTCTTCTGTCACTTTAATTTTGCCAAAAGGAAATACATAAGCCTATATCATCTTAAGCAGCCTTAAATGAAGTAAGTTGTTTTTTAAGGAACTTTTTCAAATATGCCTCGAATATTTGTATTTAATTTGTTTTCTGTCTAAGTGAAAAATGTTTATGAGTCATCTCTAAATTAAGGACAAATTTCAATGAGATATTTGTCTGAATTCATACTCCGGCTCAAGAAGAATGATTTTCTGGCATGTTCAACCGAATTAATATTTAAAGTGGCCTGCTTTTGTCTTAAGCCGTGAATGTGAACAAATATTTAGTCCAGTAATGAGCTCTCCAGTCTCAACCCTTTTGGATTCGTATTGACTAGGTTCACCTAAGCTAATGTGTTGCAGGTATTTTGAGTTTTCCCACAATAATCCTAATAGGTTTCACGAGCCATTTAATTTCACTTAACCTTACCTCCCAAAATGTATTCTCATCGAGGTTGGACTAGAATGCCGTTTCGACCTGGCCCGGGTCGCATCAGCAGCCCCAAAGAAAATGGAATTCAGTTAGTGCATTGTATGACCTTGATATGGTACCAGGCCTTTCCTACATTATAATTTTGCAGTGGGATCGCCGAGGTAGCAAACTTGAACTTGCTACCATAATCTAATACACTACTTGTGTTTGCAATAAGTAGGTCTTGAATAATTGCTTTATTTATCTTAGGTCGCGTAAACTGATGAACTACGGATGGTAGAATTTTTCCACAATTTACGATGTCATTGAATTTCACTTTAAGCTACCTCTTTTTTGTCAATTCCTACATTAATACAAGAAAGATCCTTGAATACCTGGCAGGCACTTCCATAGTTCAGTCAGTTGTTAGATAGAATTGAATACAATCTCTACGTTACTATACCGATTTGCTTTAACAGTCAGTTTTATAATTGAAATTGAGAAGAAAGACTGCTCAAGCTTTCAGGCTATTTGGAAGAAGATAAATTCATTTCGAGATTAGCATTTAATATTTATTGAGCTTACTTCCATTTCGAGTGAAAGTGATGGGCGAAGAGTTTGCAAGTTCGGTTCCACCCGAAGGCAACTGCGGATTCCTCTTTATCGGCTGTCGATTGGCTTTACTGGAAGATTCATGCTGACGCTGTTTCCAAGACAATCTCCTTCGATTCCAGTGAAAAGGTG